GGAAGCTTGGGGTCGGACCGTTTCCTTGCGGTTACCGCAGACGCACTTAGGGGTTCGGGTGGTCGGGGCTGTCTTGGGTCCCGGAAGTGAAAGGCCTTCACGTCCACCCAGAACTAGACCTCAGCCGCTTTCTGCGCATACCTGACACTTCCCCTAGAATTGACTGCCTGGCCTGGATAAAAGACAGCGAGGCTTGTATTCCTAGGGAGGGTGTGGTTCCCCAGGACCCCAGGGTAGATCATAGTTGATGGGCTTTCCAGAACTAAGCCCTTATCCGGCCGGCCCGGGCATGGCGGCGTTTCCTTCGGAAACAATTCCTCTTACTCATTTGGCTGGCTTTTTAAGCGACCACCATATAAATACCCGATTGTGGTAGGCCCTGGGGCTCCTTTAGTGAAGAATACTATGGGAGGCCTGGGAAATTAAGTCCTCCAGGTTCCTCCTAGGTTTCCAGACTCAATAGGAAACTCCTTCAAGTGTGTGGCTTTGGACCAGTCACTTAACTTTCCTGGCTTCAGTTTCCTTATCTGGAAAACGAGGGCAATAATAGTCATTTTGGAGTGGTTGTAATAAAAGAGATTAAGTAAACCAGTGTCAGGTTTTGAGTATAGGTAGTAAGGGTGCTTGTTAAGAAAACCATAGCCACACTGGGGCTGGTATTTAGGATGTCTATTTCGGAGACAAAGTTTCCCTGTCACCTCGCCCATAGTAAGGTTTCAGGTGTTTTTGAATTAATGAGGTTCTTGGAGTAGTTTTAAACACTACTTGGCTAAAGGAACAAACCACAGAAAACCTGATTTTAAAATTAGTTTGCTTTCCTTCTGCTTAGAATAAGAATGTCATGGTCATGTTCCTAATTCTTTAACAGCTAGGTATCCATTTTCTGCCTCTCTTCAACTTTCACGGTTGATGTGTATAAATAATATGGTTTTTGTACCCAAAAAACCCAAAGGTATGAGAAAGTGGCTTTGTTTATATTGTACAAGTGAATGAATGAGACCCAAGGAGCTGAGTATAGCAATGAGGTTGACATAACATCTACCCACTAAACTCAATTCTTTTGGAAGTCAGTTGTTTTCCCGTGGGCTCTGGTTTAGTAGTACTAAATTTATGACTACTTTGTAGATGATTTGTAATGATTCTGTAAGGAGCAGATCTTGAAAGAATTGTGTCGAAAAGTTGGTTTTATACAGATAACTCACGCCTGCAAGTATTTTAAGGAATAGTGATTGACTCAGTATGATTTTTTTTTTTTAAGATGAAAAAATTTAAAGAAAAAACCTGGTGGGAAAGCAACCCCAACAATGAGCCAAAGGGACCCTAAATTAAAAAAAAACACACAAACAAACAAAAAACCCCACCTGTAAGTGGTACTTCATTCTGTTCAAACCTCCCCACAGCTTTGGCTGGTAAAGTTTATTTCTCATTATGTAGAAGAGGCAGCTAAGGCCTACTGTGGCAAAGAGTTGTCCATGTCAGGTGGCTCTAAGGACTAAGAACACGTGAGTCTGGCCCAGTATTTCATTTTAATATGCTGCCTCTGGGTCATCAAGGAATGAATGGTTAAATTATGTTCAGGCTACCTATACTCTGTTTGAGAAAGAAGAAATAATACTTTCAGGAGGTTTTCTTCAAGCTCGCAAGTTAATTTTGGTACTTAAAGGGATAAGCTGTCATTTTCTGGAACAGGTATGTGGAGCAATCCATTCAGATGGTCATGGGTAAATGAAGTGTTTATTTGGTTACTTTCTGTACTGAATCTCTTGCTATTCTAATTCCTTCATTGTTTTTCAAGTTTTTTTTTTTGTTTTTTTATCACCAGTGGAAACAACTTTTGATTTCTTCAAAATTTTTTCTAGGAAAACAATGCTGGAATTTCATTTCTCTGGGACACTAATAACCGGTTTCACTACTTCTACTCTTCTCCCCTCCATATACCTGGTCCATTCTCCAAAATACCACTAAATTTATCTTTTAAAGATGCACTTTTGATCTGTTATTATCCTGCTTAAAATGATTTAATGGTCTGTCTTAACCTTTAGGAAACAAGTCAAGCTTTTGAGCTTGGCATACAGTGACACTTCATTGTGTCCAGTTTCATCCTTTGCCTTTTGCCCTTGCAAATCATGTCCTTTCATGATTCCTTCCTCTTGCTTGTACTTGACCCTGTACCTAGAATGCTTTTTTCTCTTTCTTTTTGTCATGCTCAGATTTGTTTTGCAGGACTCTACAATTCTTTAGTAAACTTTGACTAGTGTGAAGAATAGTGAGAGAGATGAGAAGCATTCCTATATCTACTTTGTCTTCTTTGCTGAATATTTCAGTGAATTTTTCAGGAGAAGTATACTTTTGTTTGAAGCCAGTGGGAGCTCGTTTTCCAAGAATGAATGTTTGGCAAAACAGATTGAAATCTGTGAGATTCTTACACTTTTCTCTTTGGAGAGATTAGTTTTAAATATATATTTGCAGCTGGTTTGTTTACTTAGAGCAATCTAGATGCTAAGGAAGGGCATGAACTGGGATCTTTCTTTTCTCTGACCATGGCCAGCATTATAGTCCCTGAACAGCCATCCCTCAAATGCTTGTTGTTGGCCAAATGGAACATACTTTAGTAGCTGGGTCGGTGTAAACCATGACCACGCCTGGAAAAAGCTTTAAGTACATGCCTTTTTGATAGGGGACTGGTAAAGTCATCTCTGTATAGGAAATTTAATTCCTTAAACATTAAAATATATTTAAATTGCTAATCTTTAGGGGTTTGGTTATTAAATATGTGTGCAGAATATGTGTCTTTGTTTCACCACCAAGTTGTACAGAAGTATATTTGTCAATTGGCAGTATATTTCATGTAATTGAAAACATTTTCTTGTGAAACGTCTTTTCCGTAGAGGAATACATTTGGCTCACTAAAATGATAGCATTGTTTATAAAGGTAGGACTTTTTATGCTAAAAAAAATTGTTGTTCAGCACACATATGTTTTTGGTTATAGTATTGTCACAACACAAAAATAGTGCAGTGCCTTGGAACCTTTGAACAGTTTTTATCCTGGAAAATATTTCTAGATTGTAAGAATATAATTGTTGATAATTTCTATGGATATATCTGAGACTTGACTTACATAGTTCTCTCTGTTTTGAGAATCAGTAATGAAGATAACATTTTTGAATGTTGGGCTAAGAGTCGTTCTAACATCTCTGTTTTTACAATGTGTTAATTTTGTTTACTCTTTAAGATAAGGCACAGTTACTTTTTACAGGTGATGAAGCAGAAAAATGTAGTATTTCATCTTGTGATAAAACTTTTAGAAAAATTGTATAAATAGCTGCCAATAGCCCACAGAGCCAAGTAAGAACTCATTTAAAATACTAATACCAAACTGAATCTTATAAAATATGCCTACCAATTGAAGATCCCTAATCCTCTTACATTTATTTTTGAATTTTTATTCAAAATATAGGAAACATTTTTCTTTTAATGATTCCCCCAAAAGATGAATCAGTGAAGTGAATAAGTAAAAAGCAACTGCCTTTATTCATCACATTAACTGCTCTAAGCCTTGAGTCCTCTCCTTCAATTACTGCTTAGCTTTTATAAGGCTTGTAGATGCTAAGGATTCAAATGTAAATAAGGTATTCTTTCTTGAGATTCCATGTGCAGAGCAAGAAATTTTCAACAAGTGGATGAATGAAAGGTAAATACCAGTTCCTCTGTGAGTGGGGTAGCTATTGGAACCAAACAAATCAGTAGATGATAGTACTATTGATTGCAGTGATATATCTAGATCATATTCTTCTTCACTCTTAGGTTTGGTTTTTCATTTGATTTTTTTGTATCCATCTATTTTTAATTCTTCTTTAATTCTTTAAGACTTCAAATAGCTCAAAATACTGTTATGTCTTACAGATGTTTCATATTTCAGCATTCAAGTAGATCATCTTAGATATCTGTAGGTTAATTAGCAGTTCCATTTGTACATGAGTTGTTGGTATTTCAAAAATGTAGGCATGCATTTCTTTGGTCTATATCCTAAATATTTGTTTCTGTAGTGTATGGAACTTCAGACAAAAATAGATGTATTTTTACAGAAACTTTCAAAGTGTCATTTAGAAATACAAGTAATTTTCAACTTATAATTTCTTCACATCTACTTAAAGTATTGAAAATTCTTGACCAAATGTATTGTAAAATACAGGTTTATAAAAATAAATTACAAAGAGGTAAAATATCTCTGAAAAACGCTGAAGATCTTAAATATAACATTTGATTTTGTATAAATATAAAATGAAGTCAGGGAGACACATTACCATATATTAGAGTTGTGAAAACACAGCCTTAATGATTGCTAAAGCACTAATTTATTACTTAAAATGGAACAGTTCTGAAGAAATTCATGAGTATTCCTGTTTAAAAAATGACACTTTTGAGTTTGAGTGAAAACAGTTGTTTAGTAAAACTTAGAAGTATCTGTCTGTTAACACCAAAGAATATCCTAGGTTGAGCTGGGAAATAGGAATAATTTAATTTTGTAAGGTCTACTTTCAAAAGAATAAATCTTTTTGTAGCTATTGTTGCCAAATACTTTGGAAAGTATATGAAATTTCTATTCTAGGCATACATAACATACATTTCCTATTGGGTAGATATAATGAAACGAAGGACCAGAGTTACCATAGTTTTTATATTTATTTTCTAGTTGACTGGATTAGGATACTATAATACTTCAAGAAATAGATTAATAAAAATTTTACATTCTTGTGGTTATGTAGAAAATAACAGGCCTTTTGGAAAGTGTATGGAATTGGCAATTGTTGAATGCTTGGGCAATGCAATTTTGATACTTTTTGAATTAGTATCACAAATGAGTAGCAGTTATAATTTCTATTTTGTCTGTAAAATATTATTCTTTACACATGTTTAGGATTTTTATTTTATAGAGTAATGACAGAAAAAAGAACCTACTGAGATAAGTTTAATAACTAAAATATTTCCTAGCTTTCAGCTTATGAAGAAAAGTTGTTGTGGAAGCCACCTACAAATCCATTTACCAAATTTATGGAGAAGCCTTCAATTGATGGAAGTCATTCAGAGAAACTATGTTCTCATTTTACAAGTACACCAGAGGACGAACATTTACCACAGGCTGCCAGTGAAAGTCATCTCAGCTGGTATTCTCAATAATAGCAGGGGATATCTAATTTTCTGATTTCAACATTTCATGTTTTGTCCATACTGTAAATTATTTGAATCAAATACAGCATTTTCAAGAGTATCTTCTTCAAATTTAGCAATTCATATATTTATTTACCCTGATTACAAATCAGTACTCATTTAGCAGAATTGGGCTAGGTTTTTGAAATCTTAATGAAAGCAAATAAAAATGAAAGCCTTATCTATTGAGAATTATTAAAGTATTAAGCCTTATAGCTAAGATAAATGAAAATAGAAATACTATGGAATGTTGGAAATGTAGTTGATGAGTACTAATTCACTGTCATTTGGAACACTGCTATATAACAAATAACTGTCATATTTTGCTATCTCCCTTAGAACAAGGAATACACGGGGTGCCTGAGTGGTTCAGTTGGTTGACTGTTCAGCTCTTGATTTCGGTCAGGTCATGATCTCAGGGTTGTGGCATTGAGCCCCTCATTGGGCTCCACGCTCAGTGGGGAGTCAGCTTGAGATTTTCTCTTTCCCTCTCCCTTTGCCCCTTCCCCCAAATAAATAAAATCTTAAAAAAAAAATAGGGAATACACTTGCTATTTATATGACTCCATTGCTTACCAAGATAACAGTCTTTTTTTTTTTTTTTTTAAGATTTTATTTGTTTATTTGAGAGAGAGAGAGAAAGGACATAAGCAGGAGGAGCAGCAGGCTCCCCGCTGAGCAGGGAGCCTGATGCAGGGCTTGATCCCACGACCCCGGGACCATGGCCTGAGCTGAAGGTAGACAACCAACTGAGCCACCCAGGGCCCCCCCAAATGACAGCCTCAAAACACCATTATTGTCACCCTTGATAGTATAGTCCAGCTTCTATTTAGCTTGTTGTAAATGACAGTGATATTTGGTCATATATAACCATTCTTGACTTTCTTCTGCCCATGGTTTTTAATAATGGACAACTGTCATTTATAGCCAACATCTTATACCCATCACGTTAAGCCAGCAGTAATGAAGAACACAGTCTGCTTTCTGGCATAGCCTCTAAGATCCCATCAGTTGTTGATGAGCAGTTATATTATGTTGTAAAGAAAGAAAAAAAGTTGCCTATTAAAGAAAGAGACGATGCTCTCTTATGATTTATTTTATTTATAAATATTGAAAAAGCTCCTTCAAACTTAATTATACATAGATTTTTGACTTCAAGTAACTATGCTTTTAAAAAATAAAAATAAAACGTAAGTGAAATAAAGTAGGGTATTCTCAAAATTTTTTTATAAAATTTTTTATACTCAAAATCCAACTTTTTGACTCAGAGTTGTCCTTGCTATTAAGAGTATTGGTGATATGGCATTTCTTAGGACCATCTTTAACTGAACTAAAACTTATTTGTGCTGGGCTCTTATAATATCATGCAAGCCTATATTGGAGTCTTGCTTCTGGAATGTTGCTAAACATTCCTAGTTCACCAGCTCCTTCAACCCCTCTATGGCCGTCCATTCCTAGGGGGTTAAAAAGTGCTACACCCCATCTCTGGGGAATTCTTGAAAGCATTTGACACTTTTAGTTCTGGGCATGTGCAGGAAAGAGCTCAAGACTGTTTCTTAACAAAGATTACAAGAAGCATCCTGATTTCAGGATGTAAAAATGTAACCAAAGAGATGTCTCTTACAGTGATACACAGTAGTGTCTAGGTAATTAAGAAGGCAAATATTAATAGTTTTGTTTTGATTGATGATAATGTATTATAAAGTCAAGTGTGAACGATTTTTGCGATATGGAGAGCTTTAGTTTTTTGTGTTCCGTTTGTTTAGCTTATTTGTTCTTCTGGAGGAATTTTTTTTGTGAAGAACAGCAAGTTTCAAGAAAGCATTTGGGAATAAGGTCTAGAAAGACAAATCTTTTGGGTTTGGAGTAGGGAGTAGAAAGGGAAGTAAAAAAGACATAAACACATTCACACAAATCGTTTTACAAACCAGAAAAGAGATGTTGAACAATTACAAGTAGCACAGTGAAGCATTGCTGTTGGTGGTTTTTGTGTTTTACATATCTAAACGTTTTAAAAACTTTCTGTGTATATTAAGTATAGAAAAATAGGGGAGTATAGGAAAAATTTCATACATTTTCAGTGACCATTTACTGTTATATTTTGGAGAGCAGTTTGTGGAACTGTAATATTTAGTTACGCTGTGCTATATTTGCATAAAAAGTATAACTAGTTTATGTGACAGATTTAACTTAAATTTTATTTGTGCGTATCTAATTAGTCTAAAGCAGGACATCCTAAATGAAAAGACTGATCTGGAAGCAACATTTAAGGAAGCTGAGTTGGCAACCTGTTCTGTAGAATTATTTTTGCCATTATTTAAGGATACCGTTGAAGAGATTAGTTTTGAAAATGTGAGTACCTGACTTATGAACATCTAATAAAATAGACAGCTAGCATAATATTCAGAATGCATTAACTGCAGTTTTGTATCTTAACATAGTTATGCTCACATACTGGTATTTGATATTAAAAATTGCAGGTTTATCAGTCTCCTATGTCATTAGCTGCAATTCTTTTCTTCAGCGATAATCTCAGGCATGCACTTGTTAAGAGGCTAACCTTGGTGCTTAACTTATCTAAAATTGAACTAGAAAGTCAACTATTTCAAGAGGGAATTTAAACAAATATTCTAAGAGATGAAATTATATTTATTTTCTGTAGTTTTGTATGGAATAGAAACCTGTATTCTAAAATTTCAGTGTACTGAAGTTTGAGTTAGAGACAAAAATAGATTGTATTCTATTAGTTTTATTAAAATAAATGCCTGAAACACTTAGGGGCTTAAGCCCTTATTTTGATTTCATTACTTTAATGTATGATGTACTTTACTATTAATAAGCTTGGCAAAATTTACTATATGAAAAATGATTTTGTTACTAGGATAAAGTATTCTTTGATAATAGCAGCATTGTATTTTAGAGTGTCTTAATGCTGTATCTTTTTAGATTTTTTTTAATGCTGTATCTTAAAATGGGTATGTGGTTCTTATATTTTGTCAGGCTAATCTTTTTGCATCCAATTTGAAGAAGATTTCTAAACAGAAGGAAATATTAACAAAAGAATTAGACACTTTTAAACGTGTAAAACAAGCTTTGGAACATCTTAGAAAGACAGAATACCAACAAGTAAGGACCCCTAAGCACTAATTTAATAGATATATTTCTCACTTGAAGGATTTGCTATTTCTGAATCTGTAGAAATTGAATTATTGGTATATTTGAAATGGAAATAATTCTTGAATTTTCGTTTGAAATGTCAATCATGAAACTAACCCTTACTCTTAACATTTCACAAATAGTTCTACATGAAAGCAGCATGTTTTTATAGAAAATATATTTGTATTTTCTATCTCAAAATTTTTCATTGTTATATTTCATTTCAGCTGAAATGAAAAGAAAGAAAGAAAATAATATTTTCTTAGAATTTAAGCTCCATTGTACCATTGTATTCATACATTCATTTATTTTTGGGGTTAGCAGTTTGTTCAGAGATAATTCACATACCATACAATTCATCCATTTAAAGTGCACAATTCAGTGATTTTGAGTGTATTTGTAGAACTGTGCAGCAGTCCCCACAGTCAATGTTAGAGCATTTTCATCACCACAAAAAGAAAACCCTCCCAGGTCCTTTAGAAGTTCACCTACCTCCCAACCCTCACCCACCCCTCCTTACCCTATTATCTACTTTCTGTTTTTATGAATTTGCTCTGGAAATTTCATGTAAATAGATTCATATAAAATGTGGTTCTTCATAACCGCCTTTCATTTAGCATAGTGCCTTCAAGGTCATCTATGTTGTAGCACATGTTAGTGCTTCATTCCTCTTTATTGCTGAATAATATTTCATTGTATGGCTATTCCATTTTTATTTGTCCATTCCTCAGTTGATGGATATTTAGGTTGCTTCAGTTTTTGGCTGTTATGCATAAAGCTGCTGTGAACATTTATTTACAAGTTGTTTATGTCCAAGAGAAATGAAAATAGATGTATGCCAAGCAATTCCACTGTGTCCTTCTACAGAGTCCCAAGAGTGGGCTTCAATGCAGTTCATGAAATTGTGTGTGCGATTTTGCATTAGATGTACATGGCACAGTACTTTTGGGTGAAAGGAATTTATAGCTTTTCACATTCTCGAGCAGGAGTGTGACCCTCAAGATGAATAAACATTTTTCTATGTTCTCATTTAAAAAATCTACATAGAATTCTTTTACTAATGTGCTGTGATTCTTTAAAAATAATCTTACTTGCTAAAATTGAGGTTGTTTTTATTTTTTACCTATTTATAAGCATGGTGAGCTTCCTTTGTATACAAGATTTTTGTGGTTTTTATGTCATTGGCTTGTGTTGTCTGAGGTGTTATTTAGAAATTAGTATATAATTTCATAAACTGTGGACAAAAGATGATTTGGAACACTTAGGCAAAAATTCATCTGATGACCTTTTTAAAAATTTGAACTGTGCATAATAGTTGTCCATATTAATTTCTTAAGTGATGCTTATTCCTCTTCCTACTTTTATATATAGAGAACTATGTTTGTCAATACTGATTTATAATATCTTTTTTTCATAGGTAGGGGACAGTTTATCCAGCATGTTAGAGAAGCTAACTGATAATGAAAGTGAAAATACTGTAAGTCTTTTTATACTTTGTGTCTACTCTGACATTTTTTATTTATATGATGCTTGGTTTTATAAAATTAGCCAACATTAAATTCCAAATTGTGATATTTCTAACTCTTACATTATATTTGCTGAAGAATCTTAAGAAGAAGGTACTTGAAAAGGAGACCTATATTCAAGAACTTTCTTGTTTGTTTCAGAATGAAAAGGTAAGCAAATTTTGAGCTTAATCCATCATATTTTCTTAATATTGACTCCCTCTTTTCCTTCTTTCCATCCTGACCCCCATATCCTCAGAGATAGACACAGAAGTGTTTTTACATTATTTGGATATTTTACAAGTTTTTTTAGTTTCTTTTTAAAAGATTTTTATGGTATTTAAGTCAGGGTAATTGCATAAATCACTATATATTAGGAACTATGAATAAATTTGTATTTCAATTTTAGTATAAATTAAGGAATTTCAGTGTTTATAGGAGCATTTTAGATATAATTTACTTAGGATAGGTAGGAATTTTTAAAAGGAGATTACCAGGAGCCATTAAATAAAAGGGGGGAGGGGAAAATAGCCCCATAGTTTTATATACAATTTATAATGGGGGGGGTCATGGTTAATGTAAAGTGGTGCTTTGCTTTTTATCAACTTTTTAGATCATGTCTAAATATGGATAAAGTTAAAGATTGTGGGGAAATATATCAAATAACACATTTTTTTTTTGTTTTCTCTGTTACAGGCAAATGCTTTGAAAGCAGACCGTTTTTCACAATCAGTAAAAGTAGTACATGAACGACTACAGTTCCAAATTCATAAAAAGGAGGCAGAGAATGATAAATTAAAAGAATACATAAAGGTTATAAATATTCAGTCATTTTTATAGTTTAAGTGATAAAATTAATAGACAACTATAAAACCCTTCCTTAGTTCTGGAATTTGGTGGTTTTGGAAGAATTCAATTTAAGTGTTGCCATGGGAAATACATATTTGAGGCAGATCTTAAAGATTTCTGGCCCATCTAAAGATTTGGTTCTAAATCCCAAGATAGAAATGCTCTCTCTCTTTAATACCAGTCTAGGAAGGATTTATAGAGCTTGAATTAAAAAAAAAAAATCTTTCCCATTATATAGTTAATTTATGTTTATTTTGGAAAATTTGTAAAATACAAAGGAAAAAATGAAAATAATTTAAAAATACTGAAACCATTATTAATATTTTGGGATATAGTATTCCTGTCTATTTTCTACATCTACACATAAATACATACATTTAGTAGGCAGTCAGTAAATGCTTATTGTTTTTTGTGTTTGTCACTAATGGTAACAACTTTAAAATCATTTACTTAGCTTTGGTGTTTAGAAAACTGAGTAACATTCTTGTCATGCAGTTTTTTTTTAGCAGTGTCATTAAGGGGAGTATTTTGGTTTAAACTCAGTGGTTTTAATACTCTTCTGGAAGCCTCACAGGCACTTTGAAATAAGAACCTGAGGTCGCTATGACATGACACAAGCTAACTGGATCTATTGTCATTATTTTTGCCAAAGGAAAAGAAGCAGTGTTCTCACTTGGAGAAGAGAAGTGTACAATGATAACCCCCCTGGAGTGTGAGGACATTGGTGTTAAATTTCTGTTTGCTTTTGCACTCCTGAATCATGGCAGATGTTTGCAACCTGTGGCATGTTTCAAGACTGTGCTTGGGGGGGCGCCTGGGTGGCTCAGATGGTTGAGCGTCTGCCTTCGGCTCAGGTCATGATCCCAGGGTCCTGGGATCGAGTCCCGCATCGGGCTCCCTGCTCCTTGGGAGCCTGCTTCTCCCTCTGCTTCTCTCTCTCTCTCTCTCTCCCTCTCTCTCTCCATCTCTCATGAATAAATAAATAAAATCTTTAAAAAAAAAAAAAAAAAAGACTGTGCTTGGGGTATTTTGGTTTTTGTTTTTCTTCAAGGATGAAAAGCTTTTGCCCAGTAAGGGGACATTAAGCAGGCTTATGCGGAATGTAAATTTTGTCCTTTGTCCTCCTCCCTGTGCTTTTTAAGCACTTTCCTCCATGGGTTCCCTGTGTCATTTGCATGGGAGTCCTAGGGCATTACAGATGAACTAGAGTTGATATTGCATTAGCCTGTCATGGTAAATACAATAGAATACATGTGATTTAACACCTCAGATAATCATCTATCACAATTTATCTTACACAAGTTTTAGTTATGTCCTCAAATAGCAGTTGGGAAATTTTTGAAAACATTTTCTAAAATTTAAAAATGAAATATTAAGTGATATTTTAAAGTTAATTTTAACAATTTTCATGATAATTTAGAGAATATAAGACTAAAATCTTAAGATTTTGCCATGACATTCTTCTAGTACTTTAAGTTTAAATTCCTTTACAAAAACCCTACTGTTTAGAAATAATTACAAGAAGTTGCATTAGGTTACTGATTTTTCTACCCTCCTTGTAACATACAGTTTTGGAATTTAAGACATTAAGTTATGGGGGGGGCAGAATTTAGTTCTTCGATTTATGTTTCACAAGGTTCTTTTTGGAGTACAAAGATAATGAACTCAGTTCGGCAACATAAATCTCATTTAATATTTTAGTTTTGACTCCAGTGAGTCAATTCATTTTAATAGGTCTTGAAAAATTTACATTTTAGTTCTCTGAGAAATATTCCAAAGATACTTTAACCCATTTTTTCTTTCTAGATCTTTATAATATAGCAACTAGGAATAAATATTTTCATAATTTAGAAGAAACAGAATAATTGTCTTTATAATATGCAGCATGTAGAGCTCCTTGGAAATAGGGAAAGGCGAATAGTTGACTTTAAATGTACATTCATTTGGCAAAAGACGGCAAAGAGTCATTTATTTTGAAACCATAAAAATAATTTCATAGTTTAGTATACTTCCTAATAGTGCTCAAATGTGGGATAGGATAAATCTAGTGAGGAAGTTCTGACTGGAATCTTGTGCCAAGGGATTTATTTCACCTTGGTGTTTAAATTGCTTTATGAGGGCGCCTGGGTGGCTCAGTTGGTTAAGCAACTGCCTTCAGCTTGGGTCATGATCCTGGAGTCCCAGGATCGAGTCCCATGTCGGGCTCCCTGCTCAGCGGGGAGTCTGCTTCTCCCTCTGACCCTCTTCCCTCTCGTGCTCTCTATCTCTCATTCTCTCTCAAATAAATAAATAAAATCTTTTAAAAAAAAAATTGCTTTATGAAAGTGTAGCAATTATTCATGGTGTGCTGATGACACCCTGTGGTTTCCTAGAGGAATGGCAGCTGTATTTCCTGTGGAGTCTGTTCTCTTAAGTAGACTTGTACTGCTCTTACTCATACTTGTTTTCCCCCAACTACTTATTAAAACATTTCATGTTTTAATTTTAATAATTTAAATAATTTAATAATAATTTAATTTAATAATTTTTTTAGTTTAAGTAGACTTCTAGAGACTATTTAACAGTATTTTTTTTTAAGATTTTATTTATTTGTCAGAGACAGTGAGAGGGAACACAAGCAGGGGGAAGCAGTAGGGAGAGGGAGAAGCAGGCTTCCCGCCGAGCAGGGAGCCTGATGTGGGACTCGATCCCAGGACACTGGGATTATGACCTGAGCCAAAGGCAGACACTTAACCAACTGAGCCACCCAGGTGCCCCTGTTTAACAGTATTTTGCTGCTTGTCTTAATCTACCGAGTTCACTTTTCAAAGAGGGCTAGTCTTTAAATCTTATTTAATATGTACTTCTTAATCTAAACTCTAGTGGAAGTTAAGAAGCATAGTTTTTATTGATCATGGAGCTAAATAGAAAACCCAATCTTTGACTCCTTTGATTTTTTTTCATTAAAATGATTGTCTAAGAAATGTTAAACTAAAACCTAAATTCTGTAATAATTTTTTTTGGTATTATACAACTTTCAAAAAATGTAAAAGCATTAAAATCTTAGGTCTCTAAATTCTTAGATATTTAGTAGTCAAATACTTTAAATACAAAGTCTTAAAATAATTTGAAATAGAAGCATGAGAGTTATCACACTAAATCATATCTGTCATCCACCCGGCCTATTATTCTGTCTCTAGTTATGTAAGGAAAGAGTCATGCCAATTAACACCATCAAATTCAATGGATAGAAACATGCCCCTTAACATCTTTTCACCCTTACTGTTGTGGATCTGATAGTTATCCATCTAAGCCTCTTCAGTCTTGGAACAGTAACTTCCATAAGGTTACTACTCATTGGATAAAGTAGTACTCTTATTCCCCTTGATGTAACTCTTATAAATGTCAAGGCATGCCCCTTAATTCTAGTAAATTAAAATTTGCAAAATAAGTCTATCTCATCTACATTTTTTGTGATCTATAGATTTTGATCTAATGTCCTTTAAGCCTTTATCATTTCAACTGAAAAGTCCTGACATATGTAGGGAGCTACTGATTCCTTTGAGCTTTGTGTAATTTGTTTGAATTGTCTCCAGCTCAATTATGGTTTTTTGATTTTCAGTAACTAGTACTATGTATAATATTCTAGATGTGAAATTTTAACAAGTTCTAGTTAATTACAAAGGTTTAAAAAATGTACTGTAATCACCAATATTAGTATCTTTAATAAGAGTAGGATTAATTTTATGTAGGCTTATATATTTTAAATTTGCATTCTGTAATGTTACAAATAAACATTGGTGAAACCACCTTTACTGTTTTGCTTTTTATTAATCCTATGATTAATCCTTTTGATAAAATCTATGGAAGATTATTTACATATTTTTACAATGTTGACATAAACATTGGGAGTTCTAAAATAATTTAAGTACTACTATTTTTTTAGAGCTTGGAAACCAAGATAACTGAATGGAACTTACAACTGAGAAAGAATAAGCATGAAGCTGTAGCAATGAAAGAATCAAGCAAACAAAAAACTATAGCTCTAAAAAAGGCATCTAAAATTTACAGACAAAGGCTTAAATACTTTACTGGAGACATGGAAAACCTTACCTCCCAAATTAGAGATCAGGTAAGTTTATACATTCTTCCTTAACTGTCCTATGTCCTTAGGTTATGTAGTTAATGTCATATTGCTTAATATAATAATCTTCTCTTAGTGCTACTGATACTAGGAAAACTTTACTCACACTCTTTTGCTTTAGTCTGTTTTGAAAGGTTATAGAAAATGCCACATTTGCATATTGAATTATATCAGTATTTCCTTGGGAACTTTATTAAAGGATATATTAAAAGTGTCCCAATGCATCTATGGCAAGCTAAGGGTAGCACTTCATACATATTCCCCCTTGGAAATGGACAGTGTACATTAGCATATTAAAGGCCCTGAGTAGGAAAAGTAAAACAGCATAATGAAGAGTTTTGAACTCAGAGTTTCTCACCACTTATTTAACCACAGAACTCTTGTTTTACCCACAAAACAACTCTTGGAACTGGTTCTAAGGAACACCAGTTTGGGAAATGCTGATTTATGTTATTAGACCATATGACTGTATTCAGTAATTCACTTCATTTGAACTCTGTAATGCACTTAAAGCCATTCACTGACGTAAACACACCATGTGAAAGTTATCTTTGGGTGTAGTACAAAGTTGAAAACTGGACTTAGTGCTTTGTTGTTTTTGATGAATTATTGTATTTATTCAATTAGCAATTGATAAAATATTTACTCTTTTTAATGTCTCATGGGTATTCCACCTCTTAAGAACTGATGTTAAGACTTACAGAATTATTAGAGGCTTTTAGAAATGAAAGTGGACTTGCATAAACTTCCTTGTGTAAAGAAAACAACTTGATATTTTATAAGCTCGAGTGTTAACACTTAAAGATGAACGACATTCAGAAGAATCTAACTAGACAAAAAGAATTAAGGACTAAGTTCAAAATCTAGAAGGTCATTAGACCGAGTTGAATGCCTGAAAATATTCTTGAGTGGTGAAAGCTAATCAAGTCATTAACATTCTCGGAATTTTCCTGTTTAGATAGCATCATGTCACGCATATCCCGGATCATGGTATAGGAAGGCTCTTCTGTTTGTTCATCTTGTGACTTTGGGTGAGGTACTTAACCTCTCTAAGATTCTGTTTCCTCATCTATAAAATAGGATATAATAATATTCCTATCTCATATGATTGTAGAGAGGACTAAATGAGGAAATATATATCAAAGCACAGGGCCTGCATCGTACATTTTTGCCATATTGGCCTCCTTTCTATTCCTCTAATGAGTAGAGTTTTATTGTTTGCTATTATCTCTGGCTGTAATGTTCTTGGATTCACAATAGCCGGTTCTTTTTTGATCATTCAGGTATCTTTTTAATTGTCATCTCTTCAAGGGGCCTTCCTTGACCACTCCTTTTGAAGTAGTCCCACAACAGTCATATCATATCTTGAATTCCCTTCATAGCATTTATCTTATAGATAAAATTCGAGTATCTTTACATTATAGTATATTGCCTAACTTATACTTCATATATATATATATATCCCAACTTATATACTTCATTATGCAAATAAAAATTCATTTTACATAAAATATGAAAATAGAATACTAGGCTTTATTCAACATATCAACATCATTACTGTAAAAAAGTATAAGCCAAAAAAGTTTTGCATATAGTAGATGCTAAATAAATGCTTGTTCTGTGACTGGATGAATGATAGAAGGAAAGAAAGAAGCCCCCAATAAATACTGTCTGCTATCATTAGTACTTCTGGGTCTTCTGATTAATAATTATTGTTATTGTCCTCCCAGTGAGTTTGTCATCCTGTAGAATGTAGACAGGGGACACAATGACTATAGCTCACTAGGTGGGTTTGTAAAGAGTAAATTTATTTGACAGTTATTTATTGAGCATCTTCTGTATGCCAGGCACTTTCAAGGCCCTAGCAATGAACAAAACAGACAAAAATCTCTACCTCGAGGAGCTCACATTCAAAGTCACTACTATAGTTTTCATGTCTTTGTTGACAGTGTTTGAAAGTCAATGGGGGTGACCTCTACAAAACAGCTTGACACCATTATAGCAACAATAAATAAGGCTGCATTATTAAATGCTATGGAATTATGGAATTGCAGATAGCTTCTATATATATCAATAAGGGGCTTCTTTCTCCTCTGATGTTTATGTGGTTGTTATCATCTTCTATATATAGAGTGCAAAATGAAAAGCTCAAGAAATAGGAAGGAAGTTATCTTCATTAATTATGAAACATTGTTTGAAAATAGTTATATCAACATCCTTAAAATGTAGTGTTGGAACTGCCACTATGCCCATTAAAGCAATACTACTATAAAGATATTATCAACATTTACTTTAAAAGTTTCCTATATTCAGAGTTGTACACTAAAATTTTCCATATTGAAAATTCCATCCCTTATAGGATGTTTCCTTGTTTATATTGTATTTGTGTTTAGAGCCCTGCACAAAACCAAAGTGTTATTCAATTATAAGATGAATACTTGATGTATTTTTTAGGAAGCCAAGCTGTCTGAAACAATTTCAGCTTCCAATGCCTGGAAAAGTCATTATGAGAAAATTGTAATAGAAAAAACTGAATTGGAAGTTCAGATTGAAACAATGCAAAAGTAAGAAAAAAATTTAGAATCTTTGTACGGGTTAATAAGTTTCAGTTCCTTCCTCTTTAAGCAGTTTGCATTTTGGTTCTTCTGGATTACATGTGGTGAAGGTTGTCCATATGATTCGATATTTTTGCTGTTTATAATTTTAAAGACTTTTCTTATTCTGTTCTAAAAATAAGATAAAATGATTACCCACTAAAAAGTGCATTGGTGTTCACATTTTGAATTTTGTAGGTTAGTATTTGGAATTGAGTATGTGTCATCTATTATTTGCAGTTAAATGTTAACACTACTTTGTCTTAAAATGGAAGTGATAGTTCTCTACCAAACAAGAATGTGTAAGAATATATAACAGAGCTTACAATAACAGCACAAATGCTTTCAAAATCCTAAAAATTATTGTTCCTTAAAGTGCCTTAATTGCATAACAAAGAAAATCAATGAGTAAAAATGCTTATCTTTTATGCTTTGAAATTTATTACTGATAAACTAATAGTAATGAACCCTGCACATTTGTTTTTAAATGTTTTATATTCTGTATATTCTCTTCAGTTTTATCATTGTAAACTAGCATGCATAATTCGCTTCTAGAGGTGAGTTATTGCCTCACTTGATCCTTTTATTTAACCTTGGCCTTGAGATTGTGTGTACGTATGTGCATGTGTGTGAATGAGAGACAGACGGCCATTGAGATAATAGTTCAGATATTTTACTGAATAGCAAAGGGAATGGTGTGTAATTTTTCATTGGCATCCTCAGTGAGTAAATATTGCTAATCAAGGTTTTGCAGGTAGTAGCCTGGCAGATAACTGCTACCTGTTCACTTTGTTCTTGTGACTTCTGCTAACTTTAAAACCACGTACCCTACCAACATAATTTCAGAAACACACTTAAAAAGTATTATTTGAGTGAAAATGTCTATGACTTTTATAAAATATATCATTTATCTCATAAAGGCAAGTTACAAATCTTTTGGAAGACCTGAAGAAAATGGAAGACGTTGGAAAAAATTCATGTGAAGAAATTCTTAGAAAACTTCACTCAATTGAATATGAAAATGAAACTCTGAATCTTGAGAATACAAAATTAAAGGTAATGTGTGTCCTGGGGCGATGGCTGGCTCAGTTGGTGGAGCATGCAGCTCTTGATCTCAGGGTTGTGAGTTTGAGCTCCATATTGGGTGTACAGATTACTTAAAAATAAAATCTTTTTTTTTTTTAAAGTTAATGTGTGTTCGTGTGTGTATGTGAGTATATTGTCTAATGACAACTTAGTAGAAGTAGCTGGAATGGTTGCATGATTAGGATAGTGCTCTTGTGTCATTTTGACCTAATGTTTGTAAGGGTATTAGAAGATCATTATAATATGCAACTTCTAAAGCTACATATATATCCATATTTATATATCTATATATACACATTATAGACACATTCTTGCATATAGATTTTTAAGTGTTTATAGTTGTATACACAGATATATGTTAAAGTTGTTTTCAGCAATATTAAATAAGATTTATGAGGTTGAGTAACTGTCTCGACTTCTAAAAACTTTATTCTTCAGTTTTAGCTGTTGAATCATCCAAAATTACATTAACTTTAATGAGTAAGATTTTTTTCTAGGTGTCATGGTTACGATAGGATATAACCTAAGGCCTGGTCTGTTTGAAACCAGAAAGTATGTTCCTGGCTGCTTCATAACCAGAAAGAATTTTCCAATTTAATCAAATCCAAGGGGTGATTGGTTTGTATGTGTACCAGAGAAAAAAATGGGGAAGAAGTTTTTATACTTTCTGAGAAAAAAAAATTGATTTCTCATTTAGAGATACAAGTAAGCAGATGAGACTTGATTAAAGGTGACTGCATCGGGGTGCCTGGGTGGCCCAGTCAGGCATCTGCCTTCAGCTCAGGTCATGATCCCGGGGTCCTGGGATGGAGCCCTGCGTCAGACTCCCTGCTCAGCGGGGAGTCTGCCTCTCCTTCTCACTCTCCCTCTGTGTCTCCCTCTCTCTTTCTCTCTCTCAAATAAGTAAAATCTTAAAAAAAAAAAAAAAAGATGACAGCACTATTTTCAGTTCTTTAATACTATTTTTGGAGGATCGTAAATAGAACACAGAAAAGAATCTATGTAAAAAGGCCAGAGTTGGCAGTTCAAAGCAGATATGGCATCAGAGAACCAACCCTCTTTTTAGCTCTGTCTTCTGCCATTCCTAGGTTACGACCCACATGATCCAAAATGATTGCTGGAGATTGCCAGGGGGAACAGATGAGTTATAGCCCATAACTCCCCTTAGGGACACTTCCTGTAATTTCCATACCACTCTACTCTTCTACTTATTCAGGCATATGGCCCCAACTAGGTGCAAGGGAAACTAGGGAATGTAGTCTTCTAGTTATCCTGGGCTCTAGCCAAATATGAATACTCATTATTTCCTGCAATTTGTTCATGTTTTCCTGTATCTCTTCCTGTAGTTTTACTATATTTACAGTTTGGAATCATTTTCCCTAGTACCTAAGACCTACCTTAGTTCAGCTCAAGTGCTACCTCCTCCCCAAAGTCTTTTCAATTAGGATGAGTCTCTCCTTATAAACTCCCATCTTTATATGCCCAGAATGCCTAGGGAAGATGTGACATACACTTAGCCTCCATGAATATTTATTGAATGAATGCTTAAAATGTTTTTTGGAAGAGGAAGCAATTTTATTATGTTTATTTTCTTAATTTCCTTGATAACCTTCAGAGAGAAAGGATTAAAATAATATTTCATCAATTATAAATCTAATTTTTAATCAAATGGTAAGTAGAATTAATTTTAAATTACATAGGTATGAGAATCATTGGGTTAAAGTTTACATCTTATATTCTGTTAATAATTCAGAAACATGTATTTTTAATGTATTATTCTTTGGGATTTTTGTTTAAGGAAAAAAACCTAGGTGTATTTGGCATATGTTTCTGTAATGTAAAATTGCCTAGATGTATTTTGTTACTTTTAATGACTTTAGAATAATTTTAGATTTTAACATTTCAAATGAAAAAAGAATCTAGCTGATATTGCTTCCAAGACCCAGTGACCTCTTCTCTTGAAATTGCAAGAGTTTATTTGGATGGTTGTAAGTTCTATTTGTTCATTATAAAGAGCTGAAAAAAACCGGAAAAGCATAAAGGGAAAAATTTAAAAATCACTTGTAATCTCACAACTCAAAGAAACTAAAGTTACCATTTTAGCATATAGTTTTGGGGATTTTGGACTAGTTCCAGTGTTTTGCTACTATAAATAAAAATGTGGGTAGTTTCTTTGAGTCTTTTTGCCTGTTTTCTTAGGATAAATTTCTAGGATTGTAATTATATGGTCAAAAGGGAGGCTCATTTTTGGTGTTATATATTTCCAAATTACCCATCAGATGGGTCACTATATTTTTCCCAGTACTAGACAATTTTAAAACAAATCTCTCCAGATTTGCTAGGTGATCTCATCTAGTGTTGGGGTTTTAAGTACCATCTATATCCTAGGAGGGGGCTCTCAAATTTGTATCTCTAGCCTAGACCTTGCCCCTGAATTCCGGACATATCTTCTATTGCCTACTCGAAATCTCCACTTGGATATTTAACAGGTGTCTCAAAGTTAGCATGTTTAAAATAGAGCTCCTGTATTCCCCTAGATGGCTCATCCTACAGTTGTCCGCATCTCAGTTAACAACAATTGTCTGTCCTTTCATCTGGTGTCATCCTTGACTCCTTTCTCTCCCACCTGCTTCCAGTCTGTCAACAGATCTCCTTCACATAGATGTAGGATTTGACCACCTCTCCCCAGCACCACTGCTCTTGTCTTGGTTTAAGCCACCATCATCTCTCATCGTTGCGGTGACTTCCTGACCCCCCTTTGCGTCCACCCTTGCCGCTGAAGTCAGCTTTCAGTGCAGCATAACGTAGTTCCCATACAAATGTAAGTCAGACCATGTCACTGCTCCACCCAAAACCCTCCAATCATATCTGGTTAATAAACACTTACAAAGCATTATTCCATCTGGCTTTCCAGTACTTCTCTGACCTCATCTCCTTCCATTCTCCCCTTTGTTTTCTCCCTTCCTGCCACATTAGCCTTGCTGTTTTTCCCCTAACTGGCCAGGCCTTGTCCCACAGTTGCCTTTCTCTGTGGGAATTCTCTTCCCTCAAAGAGCCACACTTCCTTTCAGTGTTTGCTCAGAGATCCCTTTCTCCGGAGGCCTCCCTGGCCCGTCCCCAACATGTCATTCCTATCCTGCTTTTGTGTATGATATGTTTTACTTCATATTCTTGTTTTTTGTTAATCTATCTCCTTTGTGTCTGTCTATATGTGGAGTACATAAGCCCCATGAAGGAAGGGATTTTTTTGTTCTTTCATTCATTAATAAAAGAATATCTAGTGTCTAGAGCATTTTTCAACAACTAGTAAATGTTTTTTCATGTATTTATTGATCGTGTACATTTCTGCCTTTATGAATTACCTATTCATTATCCTTTATATGTCTTTTTTTCTAATTAATATGTAAGAACCCTGTACTAAGGGTATTAATCTTTTGTCATAATTTGTTACTCTCTTTTACATTTCATTTGCCTCTTAAATTTTTTGAGGGGGCAATGAAATTTAGAGAGATATATTTACACACATGTATCGATACATTTTTTTTTCTTTTATGGCTTCTGTTAAGTCTGTCACATTTCTGCGTATCTTATAAGTAGAAGCACTGACTGCCTGCAATCCAGACTATCTTTTCAAGGGTGTATAGTGAGCATCCTTGGAAGATAGCCATGTTTTCTTACCAAAGGGTAGACGTGCTTACTGCCTGTTAGGAGAGATCTGGGTTCCCTAAACTCGGGGTTGCTCCTCTGCAGTGCATCCCACTGCGTGTGCAGGTGTCATCTGGCCCTCATTGTGTCGCCCTAGGGGAACTGGGGCTTGGGAGACAAATGCAAATCTGACATCTGGCTACCACTCTTGCTGTAATCAAGTTTTGTGTCTCTGACCCAGGAGTCTCAACGTCTTCTAACATGCGTGAAACTGTTCCAGGCTCACTTGTCAACTTGGAGGGTAAAATCCCAAACCCTTACAGTACTTGATATCTTCTTCTGATTTTATGCTTAGTAGGGGTTTTGCTACCCTAAAATCAAAGTTTTAGCTGTATCTTCTGTGAAAAATTTTAAAACTTTATTTTTAAAATATAAATAAATATAAAAAATAATGTTGGGTGGAGGCAAGTAGTTCATCTATTTTTTTCTTTCTAATAGTTAAACAGTTGTCTTATTACCATTATTTAGTGATCCATATTTTCCTCATTGATTTAAAAATTCAATCTTTATCATATACTAAATATAACTTTAGTGTATTTTTCTGTTTCTGTTCCATTGACCTCTATATTCTTACATTGGTATCTTGAAATTTTTAGTTCTTTATACATCTTAATATCTAATAAGTACTGAGATTCTCTACCTTAATATTCCTTTCAGAATTATATTAGTCTTTCCCATTTATTTTTCCGTATGAGTTTTAAAATTAATTTTATCATATTCCCCCTCCTCCCAACTATTATGCTTTTGATTGAAATTGCATTTAAAATGTTACCCATTTGGAAAAAACAGGTATGTCAAATAGTGTGAGTCTTTCCATCTAAGAACATGGTATTTTAAAAGTTTTAGAAAAATTTAAAAAATATATCTTACATATAAGTGTTATAGTTACTCATGAATATTACTGACTTTTGAAAATTCTTAAATTGAAGTGGTAATTATATGCAGTAACAGTGATTATTAACCTTTCGATAAATGAGTTATGTTTTTATAATCCTAGCACTGGAGTATAAATGAATTCTAATGGTTTTTAAATCTATTTATATTTTCCTTGCTAGACTACACTTGATGCTTTGAAGGATGAGGTGGTTTCTGTTGAAAATGAACTTTTAGAATTGCAAGAAGTAGAAAAACAACAGAAGACCCTTATTGAAGTATATAAAACTCAGGTGATTTTAATGTTAAATTTTGTAGGCAATTTAAAACACTTTTTTTTATGATCTAAATAAGCAGAATTGAAGAAAGGTAGAGCTATTAGTTTATGATAGAATATATGTTGCATATATTTCTTAAGGTCCCACATATTTTTATAAGTAGATGATTCTGCTGATTCCTGATTCAAACATTGACTGTGTATGTATTGGCTATTCCTAAAAGTAGATCTAAAGTTAATTATGTAGGTGTAATATAAATCTTATGAATAATATTGTTAAACTTAGTGTATTGTCATCTTAGATATTTAATGGCATTGATTTAGAATAATAACTCCCTTCTAGGGTCATTAAAACTCAGTACTCCCTCTTTCCCAATAAATAAAATAAAATTCTGATTTACTCACATGAAAGACCTGGATAAGAATTGTGAAAATATATATGGAATAGAGCTGTGTTCAGTGGCAGTTTATAGAAAACCTTATGTTTTGGAAACTTTGTAGTATTCAAGAAAAACTTTACGAGATGCAGGTCCTTAACGATGGTAACAAACTGGTCAATAAAGAGCTGGGTTTTACTGGAAAAGATAGCATTTGCATTAAAGAATAATGAACTAAAGATAAAAGCTTAAGGAGGGCATCCTGTTGATAAGTAGGAAGGAAGTTCATCTGGATGGTTAAGATGGAAAGATGGAGTCAAGTCAAGACATCTAGTTAGAATCCTGCAGTCATGTGGAACTTACCAGAGGTAGGATGGAGGTTGTGGTGGACTGTGGGCCTGTCACTGAGAATGTCAGCTGGGTCGTCCAGCTAGGTGTTTGGGTTTAATCCCCCAGCAAGAATAATGTGCATGTTCTAGGCTCTGGGCTTTGTATAAAGGCCTCAGATTTTTTTTTTTTTGAGCATTGGTTTTAAGTGTAAAATAATTGGTATGGGAGCTAGTTTGGACCAGAGATTGATTTTTTTTTTAAGAAAACAAAAATGTATTTTATTTTGTTATAATATGACTTTTCCCAAATCTGCATGTGGACATACATGTCAGCATATTTCAGTTACTCCTTAGTCTTCAGATTTTTTTTTTTTTTATTCTTTAAGGTGTTCAAGGTAATATTCAGACTCAAGGGGAGGGTCTAGAAATACTGATGGGAAAAGACAGGTAAATCATAAAAGGATTGTGGATTGGAGTAGAGTACTGAGCGATTTTTATATTAAAATAGGGAAATAACGATTTGTTTAAAATTAAAAATTCAGATGTTTAGTTTTTTAATTTACTTTATGGTCTTAATAAAATATGATACTCTAATAATATATATTATTTTCAGATACAAAAATTGCAAGAAGCAGCTGAAATGGTGAAAAGCAGATGTGAAAATTTGCTACATGAAAATAACCTAATTACAAAAAACAAAAATAAAAAATTAGAGAAGGTGAGTTTGATGTTTTAAACAATAAAATAATATTTATGTTTTATACTTTATGAATATCGTACATATTCTTTTATTGTCATTTTCTCTAGTTTTGACCTAGGAATTATCTGTCTTAAATCTCTGTAAGAGTTTGTTTTCTAAGGAGATGATGTTTCCTCCAGGCTTGAAATGTTTGTATGAATATTTTTTTACTTTTTCCTTAATATTTGGAAAATAGCATAAGTGTTTAATTTTTCTAATACAAGAGCAGACTCACATATCTCAAAAAAAAATGGTTATCACTTATCACTGGCTTCATCAGCTACAAGTATGCAAATTTGAATCTCTCTCCTTTTTAATCCCACATTTTTCTTTTGGGTACTAAATCTTTTGTGTCTAAAAAGTAAAGTAAAGTAAATATTCGCTGCTAGATGCTTTTTGGAAGAAAAATAGTATTTAAAAAAGCAGCATCATTCCCCTTTTATCACCCCATTGCAACAGAATGAGGGGAAGGCCAGTGTTGGCAAGTTATGATGTTTTTGTGAATATTTTTAACTTTTTAAATGAAACCACATCCCTCTTTGGGTCTTCTCATGTTGTTTTGGTAAGGAAGCAGTGAAAGTTGTAGGACACTGACTCCCGGCTGGAGAGGTCATGGGACGTTACCAGTCACTTCCAACTGAGTGTAATAAGGTGACTGTCTCTGGGTTGCCCCCACGTCTTGGGCTCAAGTCTGAGTGAGGCACAGTGTGAAGAAGAGGTCAGCCAGAGCAGGCATTCTGCTGGTTAAACAGAGATAAAGATAGCCCACCAAACATGCAACTTACTACTTTCTTAGAATTACTTTTCACCTATTTTTAGCAGCATGTCTAGCATTTCATGTGTCCTGGTCTCTGTCTCTCATGAGAGGTACCACCGCAAAGGTCTCCTCTTTTTGCTAGGCAACACTGTAAATAAAATCTATTAAAAAACCGGTTCAGGAGGCTGATGGGGCAGAAGCCTGTGATTTTCAGATACCGTGAGTCACAATGTCTTCTAACTGGTATTAAACCAGAAAAGTCATTTTTTAAGATGAAATTTTTCCTTTTCCTTTTCCACTGTTAAGTCTCCTGGTTTTCTCATGGGCTCTCAGATGTTTGGGGACCCAAAGGTGTGCTTTGTTCTCGTTTTATCTTTTGTGATCAAGAATGCCAGATGTGCACAGTAGCTCTAGGTGTTCCCTCTCTCAGGGAAAGATTCTAGCTCTAGTGTTTTCCTCCCTGTAAACATCCTAACTGCCATATGTCTGGTTATTTTTTCTTAATAAACCGTGTAAGCATTTCTTAGGGGTGCTTCTTGTCACATCTCCACAAAATTGCCACGGTGAGGCACTGCAGTGGCCAAAGGGGTGACTGTAGATAAAATTAGAGAGACTTGCTCATAGTAATATTAATGATGAAACAACAGTCTACTGAGGACTGATGATATGAGCTATCTTGACATAATACACCGTAAACCCCACCAATCTGGACTAAGATGAGTGCAGCAAGCCTGTTCTAATTCAAATATCTGAGTTACAAGATTGACAAAGTGACAATTACTTTAGCTTGATGGCTGGACAGTAACAAACGACCATACCAGCTTTACTAGTAATAACTATGCTTGAAGATAAATGACAGGATTCAGAAAGCTTGCTTTCCTAAGTAGATTAAACATTCTCCCCTGTAGGCTGATAAAACTGTATGCATTGACGCAACAAACTTTTTTAAAAATTATTTTAAAAATTTTAATTCTAATGTAATTAACATACAGCGTTGTATTACTCAACAAACTTTTTTAAAGCCAGAGTACAGCCCACTTTTGAGGTACGTGTTCTCGTTAGCAGAGTCTAACTTAATGTTTATTCATATTTATTTGGTTGAATCTTTTCGTTTAAAACCATTATACCTAAAATACTTAGTATATTATGAGCATATCTAGTATTTAAGATAGTAAAAACGTTAATGCTGAATGTGTGACTTTGCACTTATTTCCCTAATGCTACAACTCAGTTGAGAGGCCAGACGGAGTCTCATCTGCAGGAATTAGAGCGCGTCCGCGATTCCTTGACGGCGGCGGAAGGGAGGCTTCACGAGTGTCAGGAGAGTCTGCAGCTCTGCAAGGGGAAATGTGCAGACCAGGCGCACACCGTTAGCGAGCTGCAGGGCCAGGTGTCCCGCTGGCGTTCTGCTTTCTACTAGATACGTTAAAGGAAACTTTGGGATGATTTCACCAGTTGAGGGCGCTCCTGTCAGGGGTTGATTTTTTTTTTTTTAAACTCCCATCTCCATTAGTTTATCAGTTTATTGCAGATGCTGTAATATTCTGCAAGCTATTCTTTTAGTATTTTATCATGAAAAATTGGTAACTAAAATTGCTCATTTTTGTTTATTTGTACAAATCTATATTTAGATATTGCAGAACATGGTAACAGCATGAGAGAAGGAGCAATGCTATATTTACATATATATTTTTTGACATCAGGATAAGCTAAATTATTGTAATTTGCCTTACAAAAATTATAATTTATTTTGATTAGAATTATGCACCGAGTTCATTTGGATTCTTCTCAGTTATTTTTTGCCAACATATACTTTTGTACTCCATCAAAACAGAGATCATGGGTGCCCAGTTAGTCACCACATAGCCACCTCCTAATTAAATGCCTAGCAGAATAAGTGCTTAATAAATATTTCTTTAATTATGTTTTTTCAAAGATGCATGTGCAAGGAGGTAGCAAGTGTTTTTGTTTATTTGCAAAACAATTTTAGGAACAATTCCCTATCTATCATCCAAATGTAATCTGGATTTTAATTTTGAAATGCATCCTGTTTTTAAACATGCAAACAAAATTTTGCTAAATTTAAATTTCTGAGAAGAGATTTTTCTAGGAAAATGCCAAATCTGTGTAGATAACCTAAATTATTAATTAAATTATGAGAAAAATTTTATTTTCAAAGCTTCTTAAAATAAATATAGCTTTTGAAGCAATGGGAAGAATATTCTGTCTTGGTATCGGCAAATTGTCTTTGGTTGATTTGCTTATTTAATTTTGTTTCTCACAAATATGGTTTTTACTTGTAGTTGCAACTTCATAGACAGTCAATTATCAATCACTATCTTTAGGTAAAACAAGAAATTATAAGAGTACCTAAAAATCCAACAATAGGAGATTAATACTGTGTAGCCTTCAAATTTGCTTAATAAAATAAACGTCCTTTTCCAAGAAAGCATTGTTCAGAATGTATTAATTGCCATCTTTCAGAAAAATTTTTAGTAGATGATTTTTCATGAGGCAGTGTTTTTAAAATTAATCAGGAATTTAAGAGCTTGTGTTTTAACAATGCAATATTTCTTTGTGTCTCTCTGCGTAGTAGTAATAATATTTACGTCTTCTTGTTTTTTATGATTATTCTAACAATAAAATATATAGATTTCTTTGGAAGTTGGTTATAAAGAAAATAACCAAGAAAACTTTATTTTTCCCCTTTTAGGTTGATGCAAATCATAATCTTCTGAGAAAGCTTTCTCTGGAAGAGGAAAATTATCTTATTCAGTTGAAGTGTGAAAACCTTAAACAGTAAGTATTAAATTGACTTAAAATTGGTGTTACATTTTTCTCTACACACTATAATTTTAAAATATATGTTTTCTGTAAAAAGAAAATTAGAACAGATGGATGCGGAAAATAAAGAGCTTGAAAAGAAGCTGGCAAACCAAGAAGAATGTCTTAAGCATTGCAATCTTAAGTTTAAAGAGAAATCAGCAGAATATACAGCATTGGCCAGACAGCTGGAAGCTGCTTTAGAAGAAGGAAGACAAAAGGTACAGATGGCCTTTATTTAGAAACTTTTTAATTAGTTTACCAAAGAGTCGTCTTTTTAAACAGACAATATCTCATCTTACCAAACCTACAGTTATTGTTTTTATCCTAATGACAGGGTGAAGAGAGCAATTACATTTCTGTTTTTTACCTACTTTTCCCTTTTGGAGCTAAACAGCTGTATATTACTGGTGCCGTTAGTTCACTAGGTAAATGATGATGTGGCAGGGCAGAGGGCAGAGATGGAAACATGGAAGGAGCCCCCCCCCTTTTTTTTTAATTAAACCAAAGCAGTTGTGCAAATTGTTGAACATTTTGGTTTTGATCAGGATCTGGTGAGCTGTAGAGCTCAACTCCCTTTTCTTTTGGCCAATAGTGTTACATAAGTACATGCAAGAATTAAATTCCAGTTAAATCCATTTGGTTAGCATTTAATAAAAATCTCACTGTGTGTCAGCCACTCTGTTAGCTTTTGAGATGCAAAGATGAATAAGACCTTGTTAGTCTGCAAGGTCTTTGGCAGTTTCCCTGGTGTTATGGGAAACCTGTACGCAGAGGGCAGGAAGAGACTGTAGAAAGAGGCAAACCACTCCAGGTTGGAAGGTGACAGGTTTAATAAGCAAGGGAACACAAGAATTGTCTTGGATGGCCACAAGATGAGTAGATTTCTACGCCTGACAGAATCTTAAAAGTTTATATAGAGGCCCTTAACTAGGTTCAGTCATGTACCCAGTCCAAATAGCCTCAACACCACATTCCCTTTCAAGGCTCTTTACTTGGAGTGGCTTCTGGGAGCAGGGGAGGAAATCAGAACACATATCTCAAGGACAGGGGAGAGGGTGGGGAGCTTCCAGTTGCCCAGGTCCAGCTCGTGGGTCACCTGGAGGTCACGTCTTTTTGATAACCTCCTCCAACAGACCTGGCCTTAGCTCTCAGGACACTCATAGTCCAGGGGGAAGATAATATGTGAACAGACAAGTGAGTGACATCCAGCATGTTGGTGCTGCAATAGAGGGAGGGTACAAGGTACACCAGAGGACATTGTTCGTTTCACTTGGGGGTAATGGGAAATGATGCAGGAGGGTCCTTTTTTTTTTTTTAACATATAATGTATTATTTGTTTCAGGGGTACAGGTCTGTGATTCATCAGTCTTATACAATTCGTAGCGCTCACCATAGCACATACCCTCTCCAATGTCTATCACCTAGCCACCCCATCCCTCCCACCCCCTTCCACTCCAGCAACCCTCAGTTTGTTTCCTGAGATTAAGAGTCTCTTACGGTTTGTCCCTCCCTTCCCCTATGATCCTCTGTCTTGTTTCTCAAATTCCTCATATTAGTGAGATCATATGATAATTGGCTTTCTCTGATTGACTTATTTCACTTAGCATAATACCCTCTAGTTCCATCCACGTCATTGCAAATGACTAGATTTCATTTCTTTAATGGCTGCATAATATTCCATTGTATATATATATACACCACATCTTCTTTATCCATTCATCTGTCAATGGACATCTAGGCTCTTTCCATAGTTTGGCTATTGTGGACATTGCTGCTATAAACATTGGGGTGCACGTGCCCCTTTGGATTGCTACATTTGTATCTTTGGGGTAAATACCCAATAGTGCAATTGCTGGGTCATATGGTAACTCTATTTTCAACTTTTTGAGGAACCTCCATACTGTTTTCCAGAGTGGCTGCACCAGCTTGCATTCCCACCATCAGTGTAAGAGGGTTCCCCTTTCTCCACATCCCCGCCAACATCTGTCATTTCCTGACTTGTTAATTTTAGCCATTCTGACTGGTGTGAGGTGGTATCTCATTGAGGTTTTGAATTGTATTTCCCTGATGCCGAGTGATGTTGAGCACTTTTTCATGTGTCTGTTATTCATTTAGATGTCTTTTGCAGAAATGTCTATTCATGTCTTCGATGCAGGAGGGTCTTAAAGAATGGGTAAATTTATCAAATGACTTGAAAATATAGTCTTGAAAGGACTTAAGGTGGGCTTTGGGGTCCAAGCGGAACTGGATTTGAAATCTGGCTCTGACACATTACACCCTGACCCAGAGTGAATCACTTCTCTAAACTCTAGTTTCTTAATTAGTGAAATGGGGATGATGAGTTTTCTCATCAGATTGAATGATGCTAAAAAGAGACTGTCTATACATGATGACTCTCAGATGTATATCTCCACCCCAGACTTCTCTCTCTCCTGAAATCTAGACTCAGATATTCTGCTACTTGACATCTCCACTTAACATAGGCATCTCAAACTTAACATGTCCAATACCAAATTTTGAATCTAAATCCCTCTAAACTCTCTTCCACCCTTGTCTTTCTCAAGCCTGTTAATGGCAATTCCATGAAAGTTAGATAAAATCTGATATCCCTGAAGTGAGGCTTTTATATCACAAGTGCCATATATGTGTGTGTATATAAATATATATATACTTATATACTTTATATGTATATATATACTTTAAAGTCTGGGAAACCAATTTAAATTTACTTTGAAAGATACATCCTTGAATAAAAGCTAAGTAGTAAAATGTATTGCCAATGATAGAAATGTAATCCAGATTTCTCAGCCCCATCAGCCTTTGGGAGGAAAATAAAAGACTTTCTCTTGGGTTCAGCCTGAGTGGACTTCAGAAATGCTAGGTGTTCTCAGATTCCTTCTCAGAAGTGGTCAGAGTCTGCCTTCTTTCTCTCCTGCTGCACTGGAATATGGGGCTGTCTCTAGTTCCTGCCGGGTGAGGAGTGCCATCACTGCCTTGTCACCATTGTCCACACTGAGGACATTGTCAAGAGCTCTTTCTCCTACAGCTTCAGATCCTGCTAGCATCCCTCACACACCATTGCCCTTGGAATTTGTGTGAAAGAAATCTTTGTAAATTACTTTATAATAACTTAGAACTGAGTTTACAGGAGTGTGATTAGAGGACAGGCCTTCCCACTAGCTCCTTGCTCCTGAATTAGTCCTTGCCTCAACTCTTATTCTTGTGGCTCCAACGCAGCCTTCTTGCAAATAGGCTCCCACATATCTGAATCGTTGGATGAACATAGCTAAGCTAGACTTTCTGCTAAAATAAGCAATCATAGAAATAAGAAAACTCAAATTCAGACCACTTTGGAAGTGAATGAGTGAAAAACCAGTGTCTGGTGTGTGTGTGAGTGAAGTGTATACATCCCCTGCCCTGTCCCTATCTCATCCATCCAGGCTACCGTCCGCACTGAATGAGAAATTGCCGTACTCCACCCCCACTCTGGACACCATGGTGAATGTAAATACATACACCATGCCAGATGGGCTCAGTAGGTTATAAAAATAGAGTATTGAGCAAAACACCTACCTAAGTCACCGAGGAGTGCAAATATGTATACTTCTTCCATATCAGGCTAATTTTGCTGATACTTTGACTGCAAAAAGAAGTAAACATATTTATGCTATATGTGTTTCCTCAGGATAGAACATCTTTTTTTTTTTTTTAAGATTTTATTTATTTATTTGACAGAGAGAACACAAGCAGGGGGAGAGGGAGAGGGAGAAGCAGGCTTCCCACCGACCAGGGAGCCCAATGTGGGACTCGATCCCAGGACCCTGGGATCATGACCTGAGCCGAAGGCAGACGCTTAATGACTGAGCCACCCAGGCGCCCAGGATAGAACATCTTTAAACATTTTGTAATTAAACTGTTCAGAAAAAGAGGTAGAGTATAATTATGTCAAGGCTTTAGATCATACTTTAAAGAAAGTATATTTAGTTATTTTACTCTTTTAATGAAAATTACAGGTTTCTAAAGAAATAGAGAAAATGTCATCTAGAGAGAGGGCTTTGCAGATTAAAATATTAAATCTGGAAACTGAACTTAGAAAGAAAAATGAAGAACAAAATCAACTTGTTTGCAAAATGCACAGCGTAAGTATTAGTATGGCTTAATGTATTTTCATAAAAAATAAATTAGTATTTAACATTCTTACCATGTAGTTTCGTTAAAGTATTAAGTGAGGGGAATCAGGACTCTTGGTTTACTGGTAATATTAAGAATAACAAATAATATAAATCATAAAAATTTAAAATGTCATGATTATGCCAAAGAATTATTACCTTGCATCCTTGGTAGCTCCTAGCACATTTCTCTGAAGTCTCATCAGGCCCTTTCCTGCACATTACTTTAGCACAACAGCTGCTTAATGAAAGTTACAGATAACAATCTACTGAGGAGTTTCTGGTACGAATTTTTCATTTTTTTTAAGATACAAAATTTAAACTGTTATGAGTTAGACTTTGATATCTGTCTTGAATAATGAATATTATACTTTAGAAAGTGATAAGTTTGTATTAAGTAAATATTCAGTGTTGTTATATCTGCATATAAGATAGGTGCTATGAGCCACTCAGCCATGAAATGAGAATCCCAAATTGGCTGTGTTTAATCTTCTGATGTCTTTTCCTAAATATTCATGAAAATAGTCAATTGGCGTAAGGTACTATGGAAGCTAGCATTAGTCATGACTAGATTACTTGAAAACGGTCTACTTGATGACATAGAAAATGATGATACTTTACCTTTTCTGGGAGCCAGAGATGCCACAAAAACTATTTTTTCATTCCCAAGTGTCTACAAAGTTGAAAACCTGAAAGGTTCAAAACTTAATTGATTTCTGGCATGCAGTATTAATTTAATTTTATCACCATCAAAATTTCCATGGCAATTTAATCAGAACAAACATTTCTCACTTTTAATGTAGCATGGGTCTGCCCTTTATTCTAAATCTCTTATATTTATTTAAAAAAATTTTCTTCTCACCATCAGGATTTCAGATACTGTAAAACATGTGTAATTAAAGCTTCTGAAAAAATAAGTAGTAAGATGAGCTGGGTTTCTCTATAATGTTTGCAGTCCTTGGTTAAGTTCTGCCAAAATAAATAAGTTTAAGATGTGATGTTCTGTTAAACCTGATAATTTTTACAGTAGTAAAAATCTAGAATTCTAAGCAAAGATTTAGACATTGCTGAGTTTGTGTGTTCTGTCCCTTCCAGGGTACAGTTCCGTGGGCAGGTCAGTATTTATTTTGTATACGTGTCCTAGCTCTGGCTGAGTTGTAAGCACCCCAGGAGCCGGTCTCATAGTTGGTTCTATCTCAGTGCCTTGCACAGTGCCCTGCCCACAAGCAGGCTTCCTCAGATCTTCTGCGCAAGTGCTTCAGCTGGGGCAGAGTGAATGCGCAGACCCAAGCGTGGCCTCACCTCCTTAACCCGGGCTGCCCTGCCTGAAGCCTGAAATGTCTTTGGAGTCTAATAGATTATCCTAAAATCCATGAACATTTTACATTCTCCCCTACAATAGAAGTGTGTTCTTATTATTATTTTTCCCTCCAAACTGTTGAGTAAAATTGATGTTCCACAGAGATTCACTATATTCATTCAGTGACTTTGTGTAGTCCAGCCTAGCACATTGCTTCATACCACTCCACTGCCCCCAGGGGGTATCACTCAGTTTCAGAAGGGATCAGGTGTCACTGAATACCAGATAGGAAGGAGGGGAAAAAAAAAAAAAAAGATTTCTCTTCTTAAGGTGCCTACATTTCAGTTGGAAGCGAGATGGTATTTGCAGCCTGTCTATCTGAAGTATTTTCAGTGAACAGATCTACTTGAGAATTTATATGCAACTGAATATTTTTAAAAAGTATACTGGGCTTTTAATTTTTCCCTCAAATAAAGAACACCTGTAATATTTAGAGTTCTTTTTATTTTTAAAGGATTCTAAAAATAAAATGTTCATATCAAAACTAGAATTCTGTTACTTTTTAAGGCAGCAAAAGTCTTATGGTATAAAATATGAAAATGGTGCCCCACATTGGGCTCCCTGCTCCAGGGGAAGCCTGCTTCTCCCTCTCCCACGCCCCCTGCTTGTGTTCCTTCTCTTGCTGTGTCTCTGTCAAATAAATAAATAAAATCTTTAAGAAATAATAATAAATAAAATATGAAAATGGCAAAAACTGGTATTAAAATAGGTCATGTTAAATGTAATGAAAAATAGTTATGACGGTTTTAAATAAAATCTATTATGTTAATCATATTAAATATGTAATCATTTGGGGTTGACTGTATTACAACAAACTATATGACAGTAGAGATCAAGCATGTATGTACTTTAGTTATGCTGGATTTTAAAGAAAAATGAGCTCTAAGATATGTTGTTAATGCACATATCAGATGTTAGAATTCTCTCTCTTAAAAAATTAAAAGTCATGTGTATATAAATTTTACATTATGACTCTACCCTTTGATATGAATGTCATTATTGATTATCTTTATTTCTTTTTTTATTTAGAAAGCACAACACCAGGAAGTATGTTTGAAGGAAATGCAACATAGTCTTGAAAAGTCGGAGAATCAAAATGAAAGTATTAAGAATTATTTACAATTTCTTAAAACTTCTTATGTAACAATGTTTGGATAAATGGTTATATTTATTTTCTATAAGCAATAGGATTTTACTCTAAGTCTAAAACATGATTAGGTACAAAAATAATAATATAATTTATGGGTGGTAGTAGTAGAGTTTTTATGAGGCTTTCTTAAATACAGTTTATTTTCCAGTTGCAACTTTAAAATAAGATGCTGATGTTAGTATTCCTTTTTGCTGGATAATTTTCATTTAGCTCTGGTTTAATACCTATTAAAATTATATTGATTTTTAGAATGGTTTTCACACACACAAAAGAAGCCAGAATCATTTTTTGTGACTGTAGCCATCATTTAAGTGAATTTGTAATAAATCTAGGCCAGTTATGAGCCAAATACATGATTTTGAATAACATATATAATTGTTTTACTTTGTGGTGCTATATATGTATGTATAAAATCAAGGAAAATATTCTGGATATTAATTGTTAATAATAGTATAATTACATACTTTCTAAAGATACCAAATGTCAAATTAATACTGTTTCAAGTATGATGCCATTATAATTTCTGTGAGGATTTTAATACAGAATTTTAAATCATAGCTATTAAATGCCAGCTGATGGTGACAGATGAAAACACATTGGCATACATTGTTTCTTTATAAAGAATGGGCATTTGGGCTCGCCTGTGAATTTGTAGTCTCTTTTTTTAATTAGTGATTGTCTGGTATTGTCACTGTAGACATTCTAAAGCCCCTGAGGTAACTAAAAGATTAAAGGGGAACAACTTGTCCCGCCCCTTTCCATGGCCAACTCCCTTGGGATGACCAAAATAAGCACTGTTAATACCAAGAAGTTGTAGGATAAGGTCTTTATTATTGTAGTGACATAGAAGAGATACCAAGAACTTATTGCCCCCAGTCTCCTACCCGATGTGCCGAGAGGCAGGATCCTCTAAAAGGGGATTGATGTTGTCAGCAAGGAATCAGGTAATAGTAGCTCCTTGCAGACAATGGCTTGAGGGCTGTTTATTGAAAGGGCACTCAGGTCTCAAAAGATCATCCAGAGAAGCAAATTGTATACTACACAGTCCAGCCTATGAACAGAGCCCATCTCCCCAAGACGTTTTATCCTCTTCTCTGAACAGAAATGGGATCCTTCTTTTCTCTGGTCCCTCTCAGGGGTACTTAAGACTGCCCTAGGATCTATGGGAGCTACTTGTCAATGACCCAACTGCTTAATAGTATTTTTCTTAAAATAGCATAATATGGTAATTTCAGGAACTGGCCACATTGTTTACCCAATAATTGCTAACAATATTAGTGTTGTTAAATCAGAGTACTTTTACTAAAACACATACTTGACCCTTGTGGTCCTTTCTTCCACTCCTAAGGCAAAGTGAGCTGTAAGAAATACTCTGATGAAAGGAAACTAAGGTTCTTAAGTATTGCTCATTAGACTGAGCTCTTGAAGGGCAGAACTGTACCTTATTCCTATTTCTATTCCAGCCACTACACCATAGCTAGTATGTACCTAGATGCTCCACTGCTGTTTGTGGATAGACAGATGGATGGATGTTGAAAGAGAAAGGTATTTATATTCCTGTTTTACATATGAAAAAAATGTAAGCATAGAAGGATTAACTACCATAGCTATGGTATAAATAGATTAAAGTGATTAAAGATTAAATATGGTATAAATAGATTAAATTCCATTAAAGTTGGCATTTGAACTCAACTCTTCTGATTCTAAAACTAAAGTTCTCCGTACAGTGCTGTTTTCCTGTTGCAAGCAGTGGCGGCAGTGGGAGCATCACTTTTATTTACTGAGGACTTGCTATGTGCCAGACAAAGCTCCCAGTGTGGGACATGTACTAACTGATTTAATCTTTACACTTAGTAGCACATAATAGATACTATTAATTCCATTTATTTTTCAGCAAACCAAAACACAGAAAGGTTTCTTGCCTAAGGCCACAGAGCTAGTAAGTGGCAGGCATCCAGAGTCTCTGCTCTTAACTATGACCATACTACCTTCATACATTTCATAAATAAAGGTAAAGGTTTCTTGTAACAATTGTGCATTTACTTCATCTGTGAATATTTTCTTTTTATTATACTTCTAATTTTTGCCAAGGTGTTTGTGCCTATGCATTAAGATTTAGTCCCTGCAATGTTTCAGATAGACTGTGGAAGGAAATGACTACCGTGGAGGCCCTGAGGTTGGTACTCAGATGCTAGTGACAAAGGACAAGAGGAAGTGTGCCAGACCCTAGAAGAACTAGCATGAAGGACAGACAGTGGGCTCTTATGGTGTGTGGACCAAACTCAGCATTAGGGAGGCCCAGAATCAGTGCCCTGGTGTCTCTGAGCAGTGTCCCTGCGGGCAGCTCTCCACCATCCCAGAAAGCTCTCATCCTGCGGTGCTGACAGCCTGGCAGGGTTTTCTCTATCCTTGATATTCAGGGCCTCAAGACTTTCTTGAGTCCTAAAAGTTTTTTTCCATTATTTCTGCAATTATTACCTCTCCACATGTTCCTCTCCTCCTCCTTGTTTTGTCTCCTGGATGTGATCACCACACAACTTGCCTTTTCCCTCAGGGTCTGTCACAGGGTATCTTGTGAGGTATCGCCACCTGATTTTTCTCACCACTAATGTGGTTCTCAAGGGCAGTCATTCTCTTTCTGTTGGATATTGGATTTCTAATTAAGAAATCATGTTTTTTAGTTCCTGAAAGTATTGGGGTTTTTTTTTTTGTTTTTTAGTGCTGTAATTCCATTAAATTTTCATTAAAATTCTCATCTGTTTTTTCCATTGGTTCTACTACAGTAGGAATCTCGAGTTTCTGTTCTGCTGGCCATCTTTCTTCCCAAACCCCATATGAGTTTTAATTTTCCTTGCCTCCTCCTGGTTATGGTTCCCTCAGTACATGCCAGCAGCCCGCCCTGCACATTTCTTGGGCAATAGCAAACCAGGTGGTGAAAGGCGGATGGCTTTGGTTCTCGTGGCCTGAGACCTGCTACCCTCAGCTGAAGGGCTGTGAAAAACCATTCTGCTCCCAGATGTTTTCGGTCATGAGCATCAGTTCTTTTCAGCTACCGAGACTGGAAGCACTTCAGTGCACTGAAGAGCCCACTTCAAGGTGTTCGGGAGTCAGTAAGTTTGTTGAAGCGAACAACAAGTGAAAAGTCCCCTATGGAGGCGGACCACAGGCGGTGTTGTGTATACCTAGAATACTGTGCAGCAACTTAAAGAATGAATTCGATCTGTATCTGCTGGCTTAAGATTTGTTCATGATTTTTATTTTTATAAGATTTTTATCTTAACCTTAAGCGTCACAGAATTATGTATTCACCTTGTAATCAAAACAAGCGTCTCTCTGTGAATAAGTTTACATATGTTGGTGTAAGCACAGAGAAAGGTGTTGCGAGGCCCACATGCCTTGGTAGGGATGGAGGACATAGTCTTCATTCCACTTATTCCAATGAGATTACATTACTTTCGATTATTTGCTAATCAGATAATAAGAAACTTGAAAGGTTGGAGGACAGGCATGGTAGGGAGTGGAAGAGTAGGACCGGTGAGAGGTTATGGGCTGAGAATGAAATATTGGAATTGGATTTTCACAGGGGGAATAGTCAGGGACAAGGAAAAAGCGAGAAGTCTGCTTGAGGTGGAGTGGAGGTCACTGGAGCGCAGGATGCCATGTAACTGAGAAGGCGTGGATGTTGAAGCCATCTAGAATGTGGAAGGGGTTGGAGTAGAGCTGAAGAGCAAGCATCCTGGTTAGATATGGGCAGATGAGTAGGTCACTGTACTAAGGAATGAAAGTGTTAAAACTCTACCAAATCCAAAATGCTCAACATGACCCTTAAGGCCTTGCATGTTCTGGTCCTTAGGTCCATGGCCTCACGGCTCTGCCCACTCCCTAACCCTCTCCTATCACTTACCTCCTCACCCACTATGCCCAGTTGCGCTTGGTTTCTCTGAAAACCGAGTTCATTCCTTCTTTCCTTTTGAAATACTCTTTCCCCCACTTTGGCCTGACAAGATCCTCCTCCTTCTTTCATATCGCTTCCTACTCCCTTCTTTCAGAATCGGCAGTTTTTTATCTGTGTGATTGTGTGACATTTGTCTCACTAGACTTTAACAGTGGGATTTACTGTTCTGGTGCCTGGTACATAGCAACCACTAAGTACACATTCATTGGTTGGATAGGTAGATGGAGGGATGGTGATACTGCCATTAGTTCTGAGCTTTAAAGTAGGGCGAGGGGAGTTGCCAGGACAGGAAGTTAAACAGTCTGGAAGAATGAGTAGTTCTCTCCTGACGGCCCGCAGGGGAAGCAGTTTCCTGGGTGAGGTGGTGGTTTCCTTTCAGGCAGAGGTGGAATCTGAAGAGATTCAGGGGGCAGGAGACTTTGTGTATAATCAGATGTGTGTCCCAGAGGCTACAGTGGAAAATGGAAGGGAGTTGGTATTGGGAGTGAGTCAGGAAAGTAGAATGGGTTGCTTCAGATAGTTTTAAGAGTATTTTCTTTTTTTCTTGTCTAAGAATTAATAAAAATCCCATGTGGTGTCTTTTCTTCTGATACTATTCGTTTGAAAAAGTTGCATAAGTCCCAAGTATAACATTAGTGTTTTTGATTTAACATTGCAACCAGTTGTGGTACTTTCCAATAACACTTCCACAAGAGAAAAAACTATTAAAAATAAGTAAATAACTTTTTTTCCCTTAAAATTTAAGATTTCTTTAAAATTGTAAAGTTTAGGTACATTTAAAAAAATAAGTATCTTGTTTGTTCTTTCTTTGGCGTGGCTTGGGGTGGGGTTAGAGGGAAGGGGAACTGTTAGGAGCCCTCTATGTCATTTGTTGTTATTCGATGAAGTTAATATTGACAACAGACTAAGCTTAAAACCAGAAAAATTAAACCTGTAATTAGCTGTCACACATTATTTTAAATAAACATTTTAATTATAAACTGTGACTCCTTTATGCAAGCTTAAATGTATTTTTTGCAATGTCTTTGTAAAGTAGATCTCTTTCCTGTCATTTAAAAAGAAGGA